TCATAAATTTATTCAAAATTATGCTAAAATTAGTGCCCCATTAACAAATTTACTTAAGACAGATACTCCTTATAATTGAACTGATGAATGTCAAAAAGCTTTTCAAAAATTAAAAAGATGCATTGATTTCTAGACCTATTTTAACTTTGTTTAATCCTAAATATCCCTGTCATGTATTTGTTGATACGTCCAAAGAAGCTGTTGGTGCTGTTTTAAAACAAGAACATCCTGATGGTAGTTTACAACCAATTGCTTTTCATTCTAGAAAATTAAGATCTTATGAACAAAATTATGCCATTACTGAGCTGGAATGTTTATCTATTATTGATGCAATTGATAAATTTTATTATTACACTCACGTTTGTGAAAATTGCAACACCAAGAAGGAATCGTCATAATTGAATGCAATTTAACACACAGTTGAGTGGTAGTGGTACAAATAAATGATTAAATGTTCAAAGCAAACAAACAAGAACAAGAGATCAGAATCAGTATTTTGTGTGGCCACCACGCGCTGCAATAAGTGCTGCTACACGACGTGGCATGGAGTCAAACAAAGTTTGAATGTCTGACTGAGGAAGAGCATTCCATATCGTTTGTACGCGTACCCAAAGTTCGTCTGCAGACGCAACAGGACGAGGATCATGAGCAAGACGCCAACCAATGACATCCCACACATGTTCAATTGGCGACATATCCGGGGAACACGCAGGCCAAGGAAGAAGCTGTACCTGCTGCGCTGCAAAGAAGGATTTAACAATCCGAGCAGTATGAGGGCGGGCATTGTCCTGTTGAAATACAGCGCCTGGCAAGCTTTGAAGGAAGGGAACAGCTTCGGGCTGTAGAACTTCACAGATATACCGGTTGCTGTTCAGATTGCCCACAATTCGTAGCAATTGAGATCGTCTATGATATGCTATGGCGCCCCAGACCATAACTCCAGGTGTTCGTCCACTGTGGCGTTCGATAATGCACTCCGGAAGGTGGCGTTCACCGGCATAGCGTCTGACACGAATGCGGCCATCATGGTACCACAAATTAAAGCGGGATTCGTCAGAAAACACAACATGCTGCCAATCAGCACGCCAGTCTCTATGCTGATTGGCCCATTGTAGCCGCAGGCGGCGATGGTCGTGCGTTAGGGGGATCCTGTATAAAGGAGTCCGTGCGCGCAGTCCACACTGCAGCAGACGTCTACGAATTGATGAAGCACACAATGAAACACCTGTAGCTATTGACCACAATGCTGCCAATTGTCTAGAGGAAGCTGTACGGTCAGTCCGCGCCATGTGGACCAGGTGTCTATCATTGCGAGCTGACGTCACATTTCGGGGTCCACTCCCGGATTTCCAAGTTGTCCGACACTCGTCCGTCCACTGCTTCCAAACGCGCATCACTGAGCTGCTGTTACGCTGCACACGAGAGGCTACTGCACGATACGACAATCCAGCTTCACGAAGGCCGATGATTCTCCCTCGTTCAAACTCTGTAAGTTGTTCAAATTTCGCTCTCTGTCATCGACGAGGCATAAGTACAGATTGAGTTAACGTTTACCACTAGCAGATAACCACCGATAACCATACACGCCTCGCTACAGCCGTCTATTTATTCGGATCCATCAGCCGTTCAGAGGGCGCTGCTCAGCATACGCATGCGCTACGGATTTGCAATTCTAATCATTTGCATATCATGCGCTACTTTGCATTTCCTGAAAATTTCAGCTCACTCGCGTAAGTCCTTCATGGTGTTGCAATTTTCACAAACGTGAGTGTATTTACATGGTAACCATTTGACTGTACATACTGATCATGCTGCTTTAATTTGGCTTAAAAATATAAAACACCCTACAGGTCGTTTATTTAGGTGGTCTTTAATATTATCTATGTATGATTTTGATATAAAAATAAAAAAAGGATCTACTAATGTTGAAGCTGACATGCTCTCTAGAAATCCTATAAGTCAACATTTAACATTGAAAGTTAATTTATTATCATTAGAAGAAATAAAAGAATATCAAAATTTAGATAATGTTTGTATCTAAATTTTGATAATGTTACATTATCTAAAATTTAGTAGTTACATTATTTAGATAATGTAACTACTGCAAATACTAAGTATAGGAAAATGAATGATGTCTTAACTATCAAAAAACAGAATACAAAATTACAAAATTGTGATACCCATGTCTCTACGTACGAAATTACTTGAAAAGGCCCATATACAATTTGGTCATATTGGTGTATCATCTATGCTAAATTTGTTATCTCCACAATATTATTGGCCAGGAATTGTTCAAGATGTTAGAAATTATTGTAAACATTGTGAAGTATGTCAGTTTAATAAGAAAAGTAAACAAAGAAATTTGGTTTAATGCAAAATTTACCATCAGTTAGTGAACCTTTTGAAATATTATCTATTGATACTGTAGGTGGTTTAAATTATTATAATTCTACTAAAAAGTATATTCACATAATTATTGATCATGCAACTAGATATATCTGGACTTTTGCTTCCAGAAGTGTAACTACAGATACTTATATAAATTGCTTAAAACACAGATACTTATATAAATTGCTTAAAACAAACTTTCCAAATTCAGGTCCCTAAAAAGATTTTAAGTGATAGAAACGCTGCTTTTACATCTTCAAAATTTAAGCACTTTTTAAGGAATCATAATGTAAAACAATTGCTAACTACTGCAAATAGACCCCAAACTAATGGTAAAATTGAACGTGTTAATCAAACTATTATAACTAGATTAAAATGTAAACTAAATTCTTATCAAGGTAATATAGCATGGACAAAATTATTACCCCAAGTAACTGAAGAGTATAATAATACCCCTCATTCTGTAACAAAATTCCCTCCATCATATTTAATGTATGGAAAATTACCTTATGATTCCTTAATTCAAAATCAAGAATTGTATCCGTCAATAGAAGAAGCCAGAAAAATAGCTCAAAAGAGATCTGATGATTATCATAATGTAAATAAAGAAAGATATGATATTCATTTTAAACCTAGTAATTTTAAAATTGATCATTTAGTAATGTATGAAGAATTTCAATACCCTAATACACGTAAATTATCTCCTCCATTCTCAGGACCCTTTAAAACAATATTCTGAAGTTACTTATGAAATAGATAAACCTAATCCTTTAACTAAAAAGAATTCAGAAATTGTTCATTCAACTAGATTAAGACCTTTTAATCCAGCAAGTGAGTTTAAGTTAACTGTCAGAAATAGTAGAATTCCTATCTTTGTTCAAAATTAAAATTAATTTTTTTAAAAATTCTCTTTAAAAATTTTCCTGATTATGACTTTTAATACCTGATTTAGACTTAAACCCTAATTATGACAAGTTATTTTCCCGACTATGACAAATTATTCTCCCGATCTTGACCTTTTATATTTTCACATAATTTGAATTATTTTGTAGCAAAAATTTTCTTCTTATTGTAGGATAATATTTGTTTCTAATTTACAAAATTATAAAACAGACTTTAACTTGATATACAAGTTATCTGTCTTATAATTTTGATTTTATATGATCTTTTAATTTTTCTAAAACCACGTTGAGGTAATGTACAATGCCAAAAACCAGTTACCTTGTATTAGGCAACGGAGGTTTTTCGATATTTGTACCTAGCACCCCCCAACCATCAGCAAGTAATCACGCTGATCTGTTGGCGAGGACATGCCATAGTTTTAAAGTGTTCATGTTCTAGTGTATAATTGTATTATTTATATTGAATTGTTTTTTAAATAATTATAATATTTTGTATTGAAGTGTAAAATATGTCAATATTTAATTGCCTAGGATGAGAGGAAAAAATGCACATAATATATTATTCATAAATTGTATAATCTATTTCTTTTCTAAGTTTTATCTGAAGGAATAAAATTTAAAATATTTTCTAATCAAAGCTTACTATTATGAAAACATATTCAGCGAAAAAAAATGCATCATATTTGTGCACTATCAACATGCATCATATTTGTGCACTATATGGCATTTAGAGATTTTACCAGATATTTTCATTCTATTCGAACTCTTTTTATGAAAAGGACTTTCAAAAAACCAAAATGGACATTTTTAACAAAATTGAGGACTTTTGTAATTATAACTTATTTATTTATCAGTATTCCATATTTATTATGTTATAGTTTAAAATTAGTCATATATTGTATATTTATTTATAACTCATAGTTTTAATGTTCAAAATTTCATATGCTATAAAGTCAAAATTTTATATGAGAAAGTCATGAACTATGATAGGCCATAGTTAAAGCTTGTACGCTATGTTCTGGATGTTTTCATGTCTTTTCTCATACTTTTGCTTCACTCCTGTACTAATGCTTTTCTCACACCGGCCTCTCCTTTTTGACGGGGGGGGGGGGATGTAAGATAAAATAAAAAAAATACGATGGCTTTGCTCTTTGCGAACCAGCAACCTTTAATTAATTTTCTGCAATTCAGGATATTCCCCTAAACCAGTACCTTCTAGAACATTCACACCTATTACATAAGCTCCTCATATAAATGCTGCGTCATAAGTTTTTCTACATTTTTCTAGAAGCTACTCTGTTACATAACCTTTCATATAAATGCTGCGTCATAAGTTCTCCTACACAGATGCCTTCTCGCCTTCGTCTTGCTATCGCTTCCGCTATGCTGCTCTTTCTTTGTTAAAACGTTATGACGTATTAAAGTTTAACGTCAGTCGTAGCTAATAGTTCAATTACCGAATAAGTTATTTGATTAACTCCATCTGGAAAAAATCATCTGCTCTAAATTAAAATAAAGATATGCTTGCTGTTAAAAGTGAAAAGTCCTGAGTCGTCATTTTTCTCCATGATTCAATCATCCCAGCTTCGTAAACCATCTGCCAGAACGTGTAATGGAATAGCCTCACCATTCGCCCACGATGTGTTGGAATAACTGAAAACATTACATATATATATACATATATATAATACAAAAGATGATTTTACTTACCTCAAGCAAGTTGTGATCAATAAGCATTCCATTACGTGCAGCAGATGAATCCTTCACAATGTTAATAATCTTGCCATTTTTAAATCCAAAACCAACATTGCCTGTACTATCCTTGTGAACAGTAATTGTTCTTTCAAATGGCCTTGAAGAAATTAAAATGTATGACATATCTAAAACACAGACAAATGCACATAATAAAGAAGCAAAAATGAAGATTTTTTCAAAATAATATTTTATAAAACTTTCATTGAATATAATTCTTTTAAATGTTCTTTTTTAAAAATTAATAATGATATCCATAGTAAATGTTTCTAGTATATTCATAACAGCTCAACCTTAATGATTTAATCTCGACTACAGACTAGTAAAATACTCGATTTCTTTGCAAGGTACTTTTTTGTTACTGTAGCCACTGCATATACAACTTTGTTACAAATCTGCATACAGCCAAAAGTCGTTAATTCGGACACCCATAATCTGGAATGATCTATAATCCGGACCTCAAAGCTACAAACTTTCTGCGCATGCATAGCGTCGACGCGTTTGAGCGTAAGACCTTTCCGACTGCGAATATGCGTCTTACGCATGCGCATTTAATGTATAATGGATGGTATAAGCTAAGCTAAAATTATCTAATTCAGTTAATGTTGCAGATTGCGTTGTTCCTTAATCTTCGAATTGGATCTGGCTTATTATTTTTTGCAGGCTCTTAGAGCAATTTTATAAAAGTAAGCTTGAACTTTCGATTATATCAAATAGAATTTCCGATATATATTTGCTAATATGTAAAGAATCTAAAGCGAAAGTATATTTCAAAATCTGAAATCTGTTTATCAATTTCACGCTGCTCGGCGGGGGGGGGGGGGGGGCGGGGGACGGGGGGACGCCGCGGAATGCAATGAATTGGAAGTTGATCTGTCAGCACTATCCTTATCTTCAAGGCAGATGTTTTTATTTTATTTGGCTTATAATTCCTTACTAAATGTAGTGTATCATCTCGATGTACTCCGTCTTTGATATGATTTAGAACAAGTTCCTCGTCATTATAATTCACTTCCGATAGTGAAGAAAGTAACAGAGGTTTTTGAAACGAAAAAATTTCGATTGACAAATTAGTCGGTATTCTCGACACAGCAATTACAGGACTTGAACAGCGGAACTTTGTAACTAAACAAGAAATTATGTCTGTTTAATAGAGTTAAAGAGAAAATATTATCACATGAAATGAAGCAACTTAAACAACTTACATTGAAAGAAATGTTTAATAAAGTAAACAAATAAATATTAAGCTTTTTCTTTTTGTAAATTTTGATACCCTTTAGATCATAATTGTTCTTTATTTCATAAATTACGGTTTCATATTTTTAATTTTGTAATTTCTGCATGCCATCTTACCAGATTTAAACTGATAATCTATAATCCGGAAAAATCGATAATCCGGAATCGCCGAAGTCCCGAAGAGTCCGGATTAACGACTTTTGACTGTACAAAATAGGGTATTTAAGTTTGCCAATTTTAATGAATAAGCATTGTGGCTGCTTTAGTAAGGAAGCACCTTTTTAATTAAATAAAAAAAGAATTTTAATTCACATTTAGGTGTTGTCCTGTAGCACACAGAAATAAATAAATGCTTTTTTGTTGCAATGCACGGAAGGGGCTAAAAATAAACATCTGTTATAAGGCCACTTATATCATATGGAAAGCAGATTTGCTACTAAAAAGAATCAAATATTTACATAGCATTTGTATGGATAAAATTATGCACATATTTGATTACAATTTCACCACTGGCATAATATCCTAAATGGATATAGTGAGGTACATATATATCCTCAAGGTATACTGAACAATATTATAGCAGAGTAGAAATATATATATCATTAATGTATAATAAAATGAATTAGTTATTCTAAAACTGAATTTCATATAAAATCAAAAATTCTGTTGAAAGTAAGAAACCAAAATAAATTTTATTAAGATTTACAACATTTCACAGATAAATTTAAGCTAAATATCATAATACCAAAATATTTATTAATTTTGCTTTAAATTTTGGATTGAATATTGTCTTGCAATGACAGAATTATTTAAGTACCCATACCCTGTAGCTTTAATTATATCCATCAAACAGTTTTAAATAGGGAACCTGAAATTTAGAAAATGCAATATATTCTCTTAAAATTTGATAATACAGTTCAGAAGGCAGAAGGATTAAAGTTTTCTTCTAATAAGGATTAAAGTTTACTTACTTGAAGTGTTGTTTATTTATGAAATATAATTTTGAAACAGTTATTTATTACAAAATATAATACAGTACAAAGTCTACAATCTGGACTCGTAGGGACTTCGGCAATTCCGGATTAGGGATTTTTTCAGATTATAGATCATCAATTTAAATCTGGTAAAATGGCACGCAGAAATTATAAAATTAAAAATATGAAACCGTAATTTATGAAATAAAGAGCAATTATGATCAAAAGGGTATCAAAATTTACAAAAAAAAAAAAAAAAAAAAAAAAAAAAAAAAAAGAGCTTAATATTTATTTGCTTACTTTATTAAACATTTCTTTCAGCACGTGCATGCGTAAAGCATACATTACGCATAGTCGAAATTAGAAAATTGCAACCAGAAAACTATTTGATGTGTATTCATGATATTTATAATGACAAGGAATTTGATTTAAATCATATCAAAGACGGAGTACATTGAGATGAAATACTACCTTTAGTAAGGAATTATAAGAAAAATAAAATAAAAACATCTGTCCTGAAGATGAGGATAGTGCTGTCAGATCAACTTCCAGTTCATTGCACGCCGCGACGTTCCCCCGAAGAGCAGCATGAAACTGATAAACAGATTTCTTAATCTTTAGAGAAACAAAGGATATGCCTTTATCCATTTTTTGCAGCAATTCCACTTTATGTTTGATGGACATCGAAACATGCTTTCGGTTTGTAGATCCTAAGGCAGCTCCAGAATCAGAAATTCTTTTTGACATAATTGAAAATTCAAGCTTACTTTTTATAAAATTGCTCTAACAGTCTGCAAAAAATAATAAGCTGGATCCAGTTAGAAGATTAAGGAACAATGCAATCTGCAATATTAACTGAAATAGATAATTTTAGCCTAGCTTATATCATCCGTTATACACTAAATGCGCATGCGTAAACATATTATGCGCATGCGCAGAAAGTTTGTAGCTTCGAGGTCTGGATTATAGATCATTCCAGATTATGGACGTCCAGATTAAAGACTTTGTACTGTATATTTATAATATTAAGGATTAAAGTTTACTTCCACGCCAGCAGTATCACACAAAACTGACTATAATGCAGGCATCTATGTTTCGACTCATATTATGACTTCTCAAGCACCAGTCTGGCTTGTTTACCATGCGTTGACCCATAACACTTGGGCCCAAGTTTCTGGGAAGGGGTTAAAGGTAATATGATGATTGAAGTATTCATGTTTATTTTACTATACTGTATGAATCACGGTGTGAAAATATCTAATAGTCTAGGTCATAATGTGAATGCTCGTGTGTATTGCATATATAAGAAATAAAAAAAATCCAATTATCATCCACATGAATTTACATAATAAATTATAAACTTTGATTAAATTACACATTAATTATACCTATCTCTAACAACCATTGTTATCCTATTTGGATCAGCTTTCTTGATGATTTTATGCACATCATCCATAGAAAATCCTGCGACTGTTACATCATTAATCATCAGAATTTGATCACCAAATCTCAGACCTGCCAGAGCTGCAGGAGTGTTTTTCTGGACACACACAATGAAAACACCCTAATGTAAAGAATAAAAGATTACAACTTAAAACTAAATAATAACAAGATGAATTTCATCGATATTAGTAATAAAAACTCATCATTTTTCCCTGTACATTTGAGTGCAAATACTCAAAGCAAAAACTTTCTATAATTCAGCAAAAAATTTAAAACTGTAGAGCAAATTACTGTATTTTAAAATAAATTCAGCATACTTTTTCATACCCCATAGTATGAAAAAGTATGCTGAATAACTGGACTGTTAGATTTTAGGATTCAAAAAAAAAAAAAATGTGACTTTGCTATAAATTAACCGAACTGGGAATAATCGCTATTATTTCACTGAAATATACACAAGCTCTAGTATCAACTGGGAATTTAGGACAGTAGTTGTCCCTACAATGTTGGACACAATGATCTTTATCAATTTTGTTTAAAAAAAAGGTGAAAAAACCTACACAACTGAGCTAGTGCAGCTCAGTTGTTATTTCAGAGAGGGTAAAAAATGTACATTTCCTTGAAGTCAGAAATACTTCAAAATATCTGACATGTGATATCTTTATAAAAAAAAAAAAAAAAATGAATCCTACAATTTTCTTCTTGAGCAGAAATACTCGTTTTTATGAATTTAAATTCAGATACAATTTGGAACAGTATTAAATTAAAAAGAAGTTATTTAAAAAAGAAAATTTGTTTCTAAGGATTATTAAATGAAATTGTAAAAACATAACTGTATTTCTTTTGCTAATTTTAAAGATCAAAATAAAATTACATCCATTTCTAGATAAAAATAAGCTAAACATAAGGCAGGCATAAATGAATAAAAAAAAAACCTAATGCCTAGAAGAATGAATAGCGTGATTTTTTTTGTAATAAGCAGCTTAACAGTAAAGTAAAATTTTATTAAATAAAAACTTTCTTCAAACCTTATTGATAGGCTGAACACGGAGTCCAACACGTCCATTACCATCTTTGCATAATATAACTTCTCTAAGGCCATGGCTTACTTGAGCTCTTGCAAGTCCAAGAGAATTTCCACTTAGTGGAGCAACCATTGTTGTTGGTTTCACAGCAGGAACAGACACAGCACTCTAAAGAAAGGTATCATTGATGTTAGCTGATTTTTGATACACATAATAAATAACAAATTAGCACTTTGAGCACAGCAAAGCTGACTTGCAAATGCAGGGAATGTAGGCAGCATCCAATTCACACTTTTTTAAATATATTGTTTTATAAACTTAATATTATTTTAGAAACTAATGTGCAATATTTTAATATTTATTATTGTTTAAAGCTTCAGTGTAAACTTTGAATCCACAATACATTATGATTACCACTCACTTTCTAAGGTTAAATGGCTAAAGGAAAATGTTTCTATCACATACTATTCTAGGTAATGGTTTTCCCCCTTCTATTTACATGGGATTAAAAATAGAAAGATGCTAGTTGATAACAGAGTTTATAGGCATTAAAGTTCTAAAAATTAAGATTTTAATCAGCAGTCACTATAAAAAAAAAAAAAAGTTGTTTGCAAGACTTCTGTAAAACTTAAAACTACATCAATCAACTGAAACAAAATATATTTATGGGTAATCTTAAGGCATTTTCTCTCTTCTTTCCACATGCCTTCTTAGTATAACTAGAAACATACTCAATATTCAAGAGGTCCAAGGTTTGAGTCCTGGCGAGGGCAGTGCATATTTTTCATGTCTCCTGCTTTGGAAAACATCTAATGAATCTACAGGCTCTTCAAAATTACAAAGAGTTTGATCCAAAAACTGTGAAATTCTCAAAATGATAATAAACAGGAAATTCCCTGATTATAATTCAAAAATGGCTCTCCCAATTTGTACTTGTATATTTTCCCTTCTGATATATTACCTTAACAATCTGGACCTATTTCAAGATACTCAGGCCCCACTCCAGCATTTTTTAGACTCCAGGTGAAAGTATAATTGAAGTCCTACATAAATTAAACATATTAATAATTTAAGCAAAACAAACCTTTATTTAATTGTCATTTATGATAACTTAACTGGCAACCTAGGAGGTTACTTAAGTTGCCTATGCTTAGAGACGAGATAAATTAATTTAAACTATAAAGAAAATTATAATTTAAATTTGCAAAAGGCCCTTAATGCTAATTTGGGTGTTTCCGTTCTCTATTCTAAAAACAGTAATGTGTTTCTGTACTGTGTCATTCTGATACTAATCCATATAATACGACTCTTACATAATGCTGGTGATGTAAATGGAAAACTAAAGCTGAAACAAGCAAAATTTTACAGCATGTCCAAAGACTAAATGTTTTTGAAAAAGGACGAGTAGTGTGCCAGTCAGTTTGCAGCTGCAAAATATTTACCTAAATAAAAATTAATGTTTAATTTGTCCTACCAAGTTTGCTCTTTATTATGGACCAACATTTTGGACAATTATTATTTCTACAACATTTCTTTTAAATTTGATTTATAGCATATAATTTAGAAATTGCTGGAGACTAATGATGTGCTGTAGAGTATAATGAAGAAGTAGCAGATGGGACTGAATTACCAGATTTATTTTAAATAGCTTATTTCTCTTATTGTTTAATTTCTATGCCCAACTATGGACAGCCCTACGAATGACCATGGATATGTTAAGATAGCGACTATTCTACTTCATCTAACTTTACTGCAATGATTACAGATATCAAGGAAATGAAAGAAGTTCCTGCACCATTGACTTCTGAAGAAGACCTTTAGATTGAGAAGTTTCAAGTGTCACTTGTTTTGAAAGACTGTACAGTCACAAAAGTCTGTATGTTATCTCAGATCTGAACCACAACCTATCAACACAATAGTTAGCCTCTGCTAACCATCACAATGATGGACATAGTTTTAATCATTAGCAAGCACAACTTAATTATGAACAACAGCAAGCCTAAATACACTCTTTTGCAAAAAAAAAATTGAAGCACCAAGAAGGACTTTTGTGATCATGACGAAATTTGTTACACAAAAACATCTTGATCGAAGATGCAAATGATAAAAATTATAAGGCAAATGAACAGGAATTGCGATCATAACATGCATTTCTAGTGTGCAATTTGCAAAGTATAAAACCAATAACAGAGGTGGAAAATTTACCTTTTTTTATTGCTGCTATTGTAATTCTGTAAAGAAGCAACTAAAGATGCCAAAACAATGATATTGAAGACATTACAGACAATTAAACAACTTCGAACGTGCTCGCATTGTAGGGTTGCGGGAAGCTGGGTGGTCATACAGAGAAATAGGCCACCACCTGCAGAGTTTAGACACTGCTGTGCAAAGATATTGGCAGCAATGGTTGCTACAAGGAAATTGCCGACAAAATGAAGAATCTGGAAGGCCAAGGAGCACAAATGCGAGGTAAGATAGGATGATTGTTCGCCAGGCCCGAACCGCCCCAACGGTATCATTGTCGACTATTCAACATACTACAGCCATATCTATACCTCCCATGGTACCGTCCACCATTTCATGGCGCTTGTCTGAGGCGGGGTTACGCTCACAGAGGCCTTTAAGCTCACAACATTGGCAGAGTCGTCTGGAGTGGTGTCACAGCTGACCATCATGGCTGCCATCAGATTGGCATCATATAATGTTCAGCGACGAGTCCTACTTCACTCTTGAAGTAGATGACACACATTGTTCATATCTGGAGAGGACCAGTGGTCCCAATTAGCCTTTGTTTTACAAAGGCATACAGCCAATAACCCCTAGTGTGATGGTATGGGACACTATTTCTTATGACAGCAAGTCATCTTTAGCCATCCTCTGTACATATTTAACAGCTCAACGATATGTTGATACCATCCTGCGGTTGGTTGCACTACCCTTCATGGCACGTCGTCCTGGGGCCATTTTCCAACAAGATGATGCCAGGCCACATACCGCTCGCGTATGACTCTGGCGCTCTGGACTGTCTCTGTGCGGTTGATACTCTTCCTTGGCTAGCAAAGTCACCAGACCTTTCACCAATTGAGCATGTCTGGGGCATAGTTAGAGTGACAACTGATGAATGTCAGGCAGTCACAGGATGACATTAGGAACCTCTACCACTCCTTGGCTTGACAAATTCAAGCATGCATTGCCACCAGGGGCGGTTCAACCAACTACTAATTTGAACACTCAATGGATGATTGTGAGCCGTGAACAGGTACAAGCTTGATTTTTTAATCATTTTATTATCTGTATATTAGCTATACACATTTTCAATTTCATCAAAAACAACCGCTTCCTTCATAGTGCTTCGATTTTTTTGCAAAAGAGTGTATATTGCTTATTGCAGATCAACAGAACTGCAAAGTGTACACCTTAATGCAATAACATTGGCCCAACTTTATCTAAATATTAATCAGGAAAACTATTAGATATGTAATCCAATAGCCTCATCTTTCTCTTTCCTTTGCACCAACTTATCAAGGGAATTTTTAAGTTAATAAAAATATTAAAAATACCATGACTTATTGAGGATTCAAGCATACACTTATAAGCGCAAGTCCTACTACTAAACACCTTTTCTGATCAAGTATGATACACATATTCTCTCATACAAAAATATTTTTAAATAACTCATATTTGAAAGAAAGAAAAAGATGTGCATTAATAATTGCAATAATTTCAATTACATCCAGATGTTACATTTAATGATGATTCAGGCTTGATTATTTATGACTACTCGGAATATATTTCAAACTATTGAATGTACCATTCAGGGTACAGGGCTCAAAAGTCATGACATAACAATATCACAAAATATTTTTCTTATACAGACATCATTTTTTAAACTGTATATATATGTAAGATAAGAAAAATATGTAAATCAAAATTAGAATTTAAACTAATGATAACCCAGTAATTCCCCTCTCCATATTCTAAAAATGGTACAGTCAAAAGTCGTTAATCCGGATATCGCTTTTTCGGATTAGACATCAGTTTAAATTGGGTAAGATGGCATACAAAATTATAAAATTAAAATATAAACCGTAATTTATGAAATAAAGAAAATTATGATCTAAAGGGTATCAAAAATTTACAAAAAAAAAAAAAAAAAGCTTAATATTTATTTGTTTACTTCATTTTCCCGCTTCTTCTTATATGACGAGACATTGATTTATACACAAAACATATCGAGTGAAAACATTTAGTCCGAATATAGCCAAAAAATAAAACATCTGCCTTGAGATAAGGATAGGCGACAATCAATTGCCACATCATTGCACGCGCGGAGTCCCCCGCAGAGCAGTGAAATGGATAAACAGATCCGAATGGTTAGCTAAACAAAGATATGCCTTTATCCTTTTTTTGCAGCATTTCCACTTTTTTTAATGGACTTCGAACATACTTTCCGTGTAGATCTTTAATCTTAGTAATATTCAGAATTCTATTAATCTCAAGTTCACGCTTCCTTTATAAATGGTCTCCCCGTCTGCACAAAACTTAAGGACAAAGCAATCTGCCCCATTACTGATTAGCTATTTTCAGCTCGTCTATCCCGTCGATCCATAAACGCGCCTGAAACGTCTTGGGCACGCGAACACGCATATTTGCAGATCCAGTCTACGCGCCTGCATCGCGGGCGCATAAAAGTTGTAGCTTTGAGGTCCGGATTATAGATCATTCCGGATTATGGGTGTCCGAATTAACGACTTTTGACTGTAATAACTTTTCTGGACTGCATCACTTCTAGATCAATTCATCTTGCATGGCTTGCATAGCGCTGATGACGTAACTAATTTAGGACCTAAACTCACAATTTTGAAAACTGAAACTTTTCCAACTTAAACCCAAACCTTCTCTTGGTGAGTCTCCGTATTAGATAACTGCATATTAAGTTTTTCCTTCAAGTGTCATCTTTTTATCAAGTCTCCTCATGATATATATAATGCAGAGAACCATCATCAATCTGTTGCAGTTTACTCGAAGTCATCATATTACATATATATAATTCAGTATTAACATTAAAACTGAATTTAATTATTAAAGGCATGGTGTGTACACCATTGGAAACAACACATACACACAAAATTAATGTAGCAATGTGCTAGTGAATGGAAGGAGATATTTTGATAATGATGTAGCATGCAATCTACCACTTTTAGTTGTTCTTTCTTAGATGGCACCACTAAAATGCTACCTTTTAATATGAAAATATATACAAATAGTCAAAAATATATATATGAAAATGATTCCATTAATTAATTTAGTAACCTATTAAAATGAATTCCATTAAATTTTAATTTCTTCCAATTTCATTAAACAAAAGCAGAAGTGGCACTTACAAAAGGTAGTTTTCACGAGTTGTTTAACCATACACATTATAAATACTACACGACATGGCCAAAAAAATAGTCACAGGTTTTATTAACTAATATCCATTGTGCTTCTGCAAGATAATACGGAAGTATCTGCGATGTAATACTCCAACTGCTGTGCAGAATATTCAGCTTTAAAATCCTTCAGCCCAATTCAGATGTTTAAGTATTAACATCATCAACAGGATTGATAAAGTTCTTTTGATGGTTTGATGATCATATCCTAATCAGACAAGCTTCTTAATATTCTAATCAGACCTATCAGCATAAGAAGGCCAGTCATCATTTATGATAATAATAAATAGCTAACTAAAACCAGCAGATAACACACTACATTATTACCTGTATTTCTCTCTTTTCTCCTTTTACAGTCTGTACAATATTTAAAATAAAGGCACAATAGAAACTCAACGTACAAAAAAATTTATAACACTTACACTGGGATGAACATTAGCAACAACCATTGATGGTATTTCTTGTGTTGCCTCAGATAACTGGAGTCCCATGTAATCATCCAATTCAGGATACAGCTTGGAATATTTGTCACCAGTTACAGGATGAGACGTGGGACTTGTAGGATATGGAGGTGCACTAGCTGGATAACCTGAAGAGGCTGGATATGCATTAGTGGCTGGATACGCATTAGTGGCTGGATATGCATTCGCAGCTGGATATGCAGGAGTAGCCACTTGTGGAGTTTGAGCCAGTTGAGCCTACATAACAGTAAGTTATTTCTTGTTACAACTGCTAATAAATGTCTTATAACAAACTTAATAAGTATATTACAATGCTACATTAGTAAGTTATTTCTTGTTACAACTGCTAATAAATATCTTATAACAATCTTAATAAATATATTACAATGCTACATTTATATTTAAATATTAGAAAATATAGTTCTAAATAATTTACTTCCAATATATTAAAAATTAACAAAATAACACAATGTATTTTTGTACTTTTATAGACATTCTTCCACATATGTTTATTTTTATCAACTAATTTTTGATAGTATCACTAATTCAGCATTTGTTTATTGATATTAGAAGGATATTGTTTTTACAAAAGATAATATTACAATTTTTCTAAACCATAGGGCTGTTATCTTTAAAAATTAATCTCTCTCATTTCAGTAATGTTTAAAAATATGTCATATAACAAAAGATGCAAAAAATTATTACACCCAGTATCTTCCTTTCAGATTTTCTTAACTTTTGATAGAAACAACAGTAACGAACTGTTTTAAATCAGGAAAACATAATTTTTTTATTAATTTACCAAGTAGCTGAAACCAACAATGAAAAAATAGCTATTTAGCGGTTTCTTTGAATGTACTATGTTCTTTTTCCTTAAAAAACATCATAACTAATATTACACTATTCTGGAAGAAAATGCTTATGACATGCAGCTATCTTTAGTAATCTTTCAGAACACACTGTAAGCCCAATAATATGTTGCAACATCTTGCAACTTCAGTTTGTTGTGCCTTGCCAGACATCATATTTTAGCATGATAAATCATGTCTACACACACTGCAACCACTTTTAGGGTCTGTCTGCATAGTATAATAGTCCTCAGTAGCTTACCATCCCAGATCTTTCCCCCAATCAAACATATACTGGGCAAATTAGGTTATGGGTTGCAGTCATCCCATAAAATGCATGAACTTGCTTAGTTACAGAATACCAGGCAAAAAATTCTGCAGAAAGCTTTCTACATTTGCATAAACTCACAAACTGAAGAACTTAAGGAAAAAGTGCAGAATCGCCCACTGCTTGGTACGTTTTTAGAATTGCACATACTCGGTATCCATGTATATATCGACCTATTTTCACTTAAAAAAAATCCCAGAATTGCACAAAAATGGCATTGTGCACACCCTTGACTTTATCCACGTACACATCGACCTATTTTCACTTAAAAAGCCAAAGAAAGTTGAAAAAAATCCAATTCTTCTTACTCTTGTAAAAAGCGGCAAACACACATCAAATAAATAAATGGGCGATTCTGCATTTTAGCTGAACTTAATATGCTGTTGTCAAAGGTAAGAGCCATCCAGCAAGTATAGCAGTTAGTGATGCTGAATGCCATACCAATCAGCCCAAGTTAGAATCTCGGAGAAAGCACGCTTGCTTATAAATGTATAGTCTGTGAGGCAACAGCTGTACTGATGCCCCCAGGTTTGAATTTCAGAGGAAGCATGGATATCTATAAATGTATAGTGTTGGTACAGCAAGGAGAACACGTAAAATACATGCTGAGCCAAAAGTCCTCTCGAATGCTTGGTGGTAGGGAAAGAGGTGTGGCAGACCCTTGGATGCCCACAGTGTGTTCTCCATCAAAACTAGGGTTGAACTTAACAGTTATCTAATGTTAATCATTCTTCCAGCAACCAAGCTCATAGCCACTGTTGCCGAGGCTTACCCAAAGCCAAGTTTCCACAATTCTCAGATTTTTTTTTGGGGGGGGGGGGTAGAGTGCAGATTCGCAAACTTATTTGTTTAGCGCTTTTTACAAGAGTAAGAAGAATGGATTTTTGTCAATTTTCTTGGACTTTTAAAGTGAAAATAGGTTGATGTGTACATGGATAAGGTCAAGGGAGTACACAACGCCACTTTTGTGCAATTCTGGGATTTTTTTTAAGTGAAAATAGGTTGATGTGTAAATGGATACCAAGTATGTGCAATTCTTAAAAACGTGCCAAGCAAAGGGTTATTCTGCACTTTCCCCCTTTTTTTTTAAAAGAAAATGAATTGCTGTGTACTTCATATTTAATACTTCAAATCTACATTTTAAGTTACTGAAGATGTTTTCGTTTTATATGTTGATAATATTTACCGAATTATGATAAATATCGATAGTTTGGGAATCTTTCTTAAAAAAAAAAAAAAAAAAAAAAGGCATGAAAACTACCAAACTGTGCAAAGGTTTCATGCCTTAATATGCAAGTACCTCTTTTAAAGCATGCCATATGTCATTATATTCACATAAACTCACAACTTTGATGCTTACAAACAAAATCTCTTAAGAAATCTTTCAGTATTTTTTTATTATATAGCCCTTGTTTCAACATAAGGCAAAACTGCCATATTTTCGAATGTAAATGCAATAACCTTATGTGTGCAGAGCACACGTGAATTTAGAAAAGTTATTATTTAAACATAATTTTCTTGAATAGCACTCATCAGATGTCAAAATATAATTGCCATCCAGATACACTTTTTTTTTTTTGTTATAAAAACCTTCTTTTTGCTATTACTTATGAACAGAACAGTACCTCTGAGTTGTAATGATAGCTAAACAAAAAATTAACACAGCCTCCAATATGAGAGATCAGAAAGCAAATGTTCTACTTACATACATGTTTATTCATATGCATATATATATATATATATATATCAATAATTATGAAATCAAACCCCCTTATCTTAAAATATTATAATTAGACTTTATTTAATATATTTACATAAAATATTTTAAGGTGGTGGTAGAGGGAGTTAATTAAATACTCTGATATGCAAGAAATAAATTATGGTTTTTCTTTTAAAAAAAATTGAATACAAGAACCATTTATTACACTTACATAACACCGAACTTTTGATAAATATTACATAAATATATAAAACTTTTGATATACAACTGCTTATGCTATATTTATTCTCATAATAATTATAATAGTGATGAGTAGGTGTTCAGTATAATAGGTTGTGCTTGAGTAGTTGTGCTTATATCTTTAGTAAAATGAAGTTAAAAAAATAGATTTATACAAGTGAATCCACTAAATTAAACAAATTTGTTAGGGAGAAGGTAGGAGATACATCATTAATAAATTAATACAAATTACTTTTACATCAATTTTGGTGCAAGATTACTTCATATTTATGATGCAAAAAGGCTTAAAACCTGATAAAACTACTCTAAAATTTGATATTAATTCCCATTAACACCAAAGATAGTAACTAAAAACCATATTCCATAGCAATAGATAATAAATAGAAAACAAATGTTTCTTCATTCAAACATTTCATTATTTGATAACCTGTCCAAAATACTGGTTTCTCAAATTTTCTTCAAGTTACAGAATTCTTGATTAATTACTATTCAGGATTCAGAAAATAATAAGTTTCTTAACTTCATTTGTGTATTAAGTCGATAAATAATAAAAAATTTTAATAATTTATAATTATTAATCAGAAATATTCAAACACATTTCAAATGACAAAAGAAAATATTTGACATAATAAAAACTATTAGGCAGTCAGAAATCATCACTCAGATTTATTTTTAGTATTAAATGATTAACTGAGACTCATATTAGTATTTAGTATTTATTTGAAGTCCTTGCATCAGATGAATTGTAGCAGGCCCATATAGGCACTATGAAAGATATTAATGACAATGGGCATTCTAGATAATGAAAGAGTAATTTAATAATTAGTTTCATTTTAATAAATATCATTGATATATTATAAAATTGGTTCAATTTTCAAAATCCTGCCAAGGCCATAATGCATACTAGGATTTTACCCAAATGATTCTATTAATGATGATAAACATCCATTTTAATCAACTGATACAAATTAAATGAAAATGACCTTAAATCAACCAATGAATTTAAAATATTTTTTCACAAGTTATGTACACAAGAATGTCTCACATTTCGGATAAGTGCTTAAAAATGATTAAGAAATTAATAATATTGCAGAATATAATTATTAATAATTTAATAAAATTGATATCTTATACAATCAAAGAGAAACTTACTCTAGCTAACTGGTCAACCTTCATGTCTTCCAATGATGGATACAGAGACATTTTTATTTTACTTCAAAAACCACACTAGAAAATAATTTGTAGGAATTAAGACAGTATTGATGTGTAAAGTTATACACTTGAATGGCAGTTAAATTAACAAAAATATAAATCTGTAGTCTATTTCTTTTGTATACATGAACAAGATAAAGCACAGCATTTTAATTGACAAAAATTTGTTTATTAAATACATAACAGATTATAAATGTATTTATTAAATACTTTAAAGTTAGTTAAATATTTAAAAAATAATAAAAAGAAAACTTTTAACATCAGGATTATCCTGCCCAGAACTCGTATAAATAAACTGTCGAACACAATTTTATGTTTAAAGGAGCGAAAAGTACCACGATAACACTTTTAATGCTTTGAAAATAAGATTTCAATACTTTGAAATTAAATATTTTCAAAAGAGAAACAGACTTGCCAAAAATTGGATATAAGAAACAGGTATACACTACAGTCGTACATAAATGGAAAATAACTTTAGGCTACAACTTTAATTTCATTCACGTATTGCGGTTGACAAGACGTAATACCTAAACAAGAGAAACTAGAAATGCACTTTCATTATTAAAGTTACAACAAACCTTTAAATAAATGTTCCCGATTCCAGAAATCAAATTTAGAACTTTGTTACATGATTAACAATTTTTACCTACCTGATGGTTAAAAAAGATAATTTATTTCTTGCTTAAACGTCAATTCACAGCAACTTGCTAAAAAGACCTAATCTCTCGAGATTTCGTTTATTAAAGTATCATAATCACGTGTTTTATCGAAAGATTGCACAACACAAACGTAATACAAACACCATAATACTGGTTATGACAGTTCAACCAAGTTTTTTCTAGAATCAGCGCTATTACCGGATGTTTATGAATTCTCGCGAACTGTTGCCCCAAAAATTTGAGAATAAAGCATGAAATGAGTGCTGAAATGTTAATAATACTTATCCAAGCTTTAAAAGAACAATAAAAGGAAGAAATGATGTACTCAAACAAATATACAGTGTCTCATAAAAATGATCGGGCACAACAATATTTTTACTTTTTTAACTAATAAGAGAAAAGCTTTGCAGTAAACTAATAAAGAGTATTTTCCCTTTGAATACATATTTTCTTAGCTATTGCTTTGTACTGAATAAATTTGGAAAAACGAAATGGTAAATTTAAAAAATAGCGTTTTAGAATGTAATGGAAGAAAGAGATACTAAAAAATTAATCGGACATTTTCATAATTCCTAATTAAAAATATTTACAATAAATGAAAAACGAAACTTCATGGAACTAGTTTGGATAAAGAAGTTCGGCAAAACTCTAAAAATTGTTTGCTTTTATAATTCAAATTTTCTTTTTGCTATTTTAATGTTTTCTTGCAATAGTTCTGTTACGAAAGGAAACATCGTTAGAAACCCACAAAAAGCCCGCAGATTAGTTATTGATTTGCATCAAAAGAAAGAAAGAAAATTGCCTATTTACTTAATTTAAGTGATTCAACAGTTTTTGGTGTAATTAAGCGTTATAACATACAGAATTGTATTTAAAACAAAAGAAGACCTGGAAGACCGTCTAAGTTACCTCACGGAATGAAACGTTTTATTCTAAGAAATATTATAAAGAATCCAAGACTGAGTGCTCCTAAGTAAACTTGTTGCGGAACTTCGTGAATTATATGGAGTATGTGTAAATCCAGAAACTGTAAGAAGAGTAATGCGATCTGCAGGATATCATGGGCGAGTAGCACACAGAAAATTTTATATTAGTAAAAAAACCCCGAAAAACTTCATCTTGCTTTCAAAAAGTCAATGGAAAAAAAAAAAAAAAAAAAAAATTACTTTTCTCAGTAAGTGATACTTACAGCAAGTATGAGAAAATTCGAAGCAGAATTACAATATTTTGAATTTATTTTGGAGATTGTATTTTATAATAAATTGTAAAAGCTCAATATGACTGTCCTTTTATCTATCGGTTTCGTCTTTCCATGTACTAAGAGAAATAAAATTCTAAAACATATCTCTCTCAGTGAGGAACTGCTCCTAATTCATGCCATTTAAAATTTAATTGTAATTCGCATTTTCGTACAAAAGTTTCGATAGAGTAAAGAAGGCTTAACAAGAAAATGAAACCAGTACATCTCGTTGTAATATCTTTGAATATTCTGCGAAGCTTAAAAGCTGTTCTCTTTCCAATTCAGTTTTGTATCACAGTACGGCATCTCAGTATTCGTCCCCTCACAATGGCTGAATGGATCAGATAGCTGAAAACTGATAATTGGACTTGTAATGAAACCCCATACAACGGACTATCTACGTTATATATTTTACTTCATGTTTAATGTAACGTATATTTACGTATGTATGGCATGAATATGATTCTCACATAAATATGAGCAAATTTTCTAACATAAATATGAGAAAATTCCCATTTTAAGCCCTTCCGTATAATTTTAGTCCTTCACGAAGACTTTAAGATAAATGTAGAAAATTATTTTAAAAAAATTACCGGATGTAGAAAACTATTTAAAAAAGAAGAACTTAGCATTCCAAGTCCTACTAATCTTAAGTAATGCGCCCTCTTATCCAATTGATTTAAATCATCCCAATGTTCAGTTTGCGTTTTTATCATGCAACGCCACTCCGTTGTTTCAACCCTTGGATCAATATAGTGACTTTTAAATCTTACTATGTCCGTAAATTATTTGCATTAGTTTTGGGCGAATATAGATTCTATCGATATTATAGTCAGTGAAGGTTGGAAACAATTTTCAATTTGTAGAAATTATCGGCTCGTCCCTAAAAGAAATGCACCAGTCGTCTCTAAATACTTCCTGGCAACGTTTTTATTATCGGAAACGGTCAGCCAGCCAGGAAAATTTTATTGAGGCAATTCAGCCTGCATATCTACACAAAATAGGAGGCGATGGATTCACTGAAATAACTGTTGATGATATTCTAGAATTAGTCACAGAAAATGAAATAAATGAAGCAGATCTGGTGACAGTTATATCAGAAACATTACCGATTGGTAATAATTCTGAAGATCTTTTCATTGAAAATGCCAAAAACTTCACTCTGAAAGGCATAGAAAGTGTTTGGACATGGCGAAATAGATGGAATCTTATATTCTAGAGAAAGATCCTCTGTCTAGAGAAAGCGGAAATATTTAAAAGAAAACTTCAAAATTGCTTATCTCTCTATCAAGAAATTTATAAAGATTTGCAAAGCAAGAGCAAACAATCTCTAATGATAGATTTTTTAAAGCCTAAACCTACCGGAAGTGCAGTGGAACTTGTCGATGAAACAAGCTCAGATCTTGAAATAAGGCCAGTTTGCATTCTCGAACAACTGTAATAAATGATGATGAGGAACGAATTGGTAAACATAACATTATATTTATTTTTGATTTTGACTTGAAATCATAATCTTTTTAGTTTTCATGTGATGTTGAATTTTATTAAATTTTTTATGAAATGTTTTTATGTATATAAATTTATAAAATGATGAAAATATTACATCATAAAAGGCAGTTTTTTCTCTTTTCGGAACCTAATCCCATTTTTTGTATTAAGTTGGAGTCTCTTATAACGTAATTTCCCATAACGCGGTATTTTCAACGAACATTTGGTACCGTGTTGTAGGAGTCCTCCTATATTTCGAAAAAGTTTGATCTAGAGCAGCGTTGCTTAAATATTTTTCATTCATGACCCCGTTTTTATCATGTAGATTTTTTCGCGACTCGCAATATGAAACATAAAAGATATAAGAATCAAGATTTTTGCATAAATAATTTAGTTCTTTAGAAAATATTATACACACGGGAAGTAGTATATTAGAATTTGTTTAAGATATACAAAAATTAATAAATGAAAATCACGTTTCATTGAAATAGATGTTTTTTTTTTTTTTTTTTTTTTTTTTTTTTTTTTTTTTGTTTTGTTTTTGTTGTGTAACAGATGAAACCTTGGTGCAATATTTGAAGGTTCATTGTTGAACGATATTTGGATTTAACAAGCATTAGAGCTGAAAAAGTCGTTTCCTGTAAGTAAGTGCTGCTCAATGGTAGAAGAAAATTTCAATAGCTGAGATCCAGAATTTAGTTAAGGGTTTTTGCGGAAACTCAAGTTTTAAGCTTTAGTAAGTCAATAAATTTCTCTTGGACTTCATGTAGTAGATGATTAATCTGACTAACGTGAATCAAAAATTGCCTTTTGAAATCAAGGTAACATTTTAAAATAAAAATTCGGTATAAAGTATTTGCGAACCTATGTTTCAAAGATTTTGAAGTGACCTCAAATAATTTTTGCAATTAAAGTTTTACAGTTACTTTATTTATTTATTTTTTTCAATTACAAAATTGACTATAGTTGAAAACTCTTTGAACTCTTTTTACTCTGTTCTTCCAAATGTTATTCTTTTTGATAAAATTTAAAATTTTATCTCTCGAAATAAATATTCTTTCCTTGAATAAACAAACTGAAATCTTTTAATATCTGAAAAAATAGCTTTTGATGACCATAAATTATTTGATATTTTTGTTCAGTTAAAAATATAATGATTTCGTCTTTTAATAACGATAATCTTAAACTTCGCCCTCTTGAGATTTTATTTACTCTGAGTTATTAATTATGTCTTGTATTCGGAGTAGCTACTCAGAGATTTGAAAATAAACAACTGTTAAGGATAAGGCTTTTAATAAAGTTATTTTGACAGCATTCTGAAGCAGCGTCGCTCAGAAACCCGTCACTCTGGTAGATTAGGCACCTTTTACCGATTCGGTCCTTGATCCTTGAACGTGAAGGTGCGCATCATGAGCGCTTCGACGGAGATGGGATCTACTGCCGAAGTTACTGTACGGATGAACGTTAGCGTCCCGCCTGAGACACCTGCCACCACAGAGAGTTGTGTTGGACTTCCCCAGCAACCTCAATCGGAATATTAACGAAAACCTGGATTATTATACGGAAAAGCTAATGGATTTGGAAAAGGAAATTGACCAAGTGAAGACTGCAATTAAAGCATGTCAACGGCTACGCGCGGTTTCTGACCCGGATACGACCACGGATATCATGACGAAGAATTTACGCATGCTCCAGGCTCAAGCAGCAGAAATAAGAGGTAAGTGCAATTTATCTTGCTCTTCAGGCATTGTCCCCCCTGTTATTCTAGTGTTAAAAGGAAAAAATGAGGAAAAGGAAATTAAAAAGCTAAAGAGAAAAAAAATTAGTCATGGTAACATAATTATTGATAATGATGGTTTTAAGTTACCTGTAAAAACTGCTAAGCAACAAAAATTAGATAAAGTTCCATTAAATTTAGAAACTGTAAACCGATACTCTGTATTAAATGAAAATTCTAGTAATGATGAAAATGTAAAATGTAATGCTGGTAATAACCCAGACGGACAGGCCGTGCAGCAGCAGCCGACCAACAGCCAATCACAGGCTATTCCCCCCATAATGGTGAATCCCGGAAAAAAAACTGACCCACGAGGCTTTTCTCAAGGAATTAGCTCTGCAAACTGAAGCCAAATTTTTGGGAAAGGTTAATGGAGAACTCCTGAAAGTCCTACCACGCACTGCAGACGACCATAGAATCCTGACATCTCTTTTCCTGGAAAAAAAAAGTTGAGCACTACGTCATCAACGCAAATTACGCTCGCCCAATCAAAGTGGTTCTCAGAGGACTGTCTATAACCACAAAACCGGAGGATATAGCCACTGCCTTATCGGACAAGGGGTTCGGAATAAGTAAAGTCACACAACTTACAAGACGAAGAACCAAAGCTCCCATGCCTTTATTCCTTGTCCAAATCATCAAAAATGAAAAAAGCG